TTTTTTTTTTTTTTTTTTTTTTTTTTTTTTTTTTTTTTTTTTGTCTTTTTTCCGTGTCCGGCAACGGATCGCAACCCTCAGTGTTGCCCCCGCACCGGACCGGGGACCGGCAACGGGATTGCAAACCTCGGTGTTGCTCCCGCGCCTCGCTCAGCCAGTGAGCGGGAGCCGGTCTGTATGTGGGATCCGAACCCTCGGACGGGAGCGCCAGCCGCGCTTCCCAAGCGGCGCACCATCCAGTGCGCCACCGGGCCGGCCCCTATCCACAAGTATTTCTGTTTAGGTATGTGCAATATCTAATATATTATCTAATATGAGTGTACGTAATATCTAACATATCTAATGCATATGTGTAGTTCTGTCCTTTAGATTCCCAGAACATAATTCTCATTAGAAATAGATGAATCAACAATAATTTTTCCAATTACTGCTGATTTTTTTTTGGGGGGGGGGTTGGTGTAAATTAGTTATTTTTTAGGTAGTAATACTTAGGATCAAAATTAAGTATTTTGTGCTAAAATTAAGTCTAATATGAGAAATATTACAAATTCTTTTTGTTATCAACATAAATTGTAAGAGAAATTTCATATAATGCCTAAACATACACCTCTGCTTTTATGATTTAGCCATGCCCTTTGGCTTTTTTGACTGTGATGAAATTAAGTATTTAAAACTATTCTAGATATTTAATTATTGTTAAAGGCACTCTATTACACTTATAAAGAGTTTCCTTCCTTTATCAAAGGTTCTGTTGGTGCAACTAATATGAATGAACATAGTTCCCGTTCCCACGCCATCTTTACAATTACTATAGAATGCAGTGAAAAAGGCGTTGATGGTAACATGCATGTTAGGATGGGAAAACTCCATCTTGTAGATCTTGCTGTAAGTAATAAGATATTACTTAAGTATTCATTTATTTGTGATTCGTTTATTTTATAACTGAATAAAAATTAAGGTGAAAAGGTGTGGTTTACATATGATTTTTAAGTTGTTATTGTGTGTGTTTAACTTATTATGAAATATTTCAAATGTATGCAAAAGTAGACAGAATTGTGTAATGATCCTGCATGTACTTATCACCCATCTTCAACAATTATCAGCTCATGGACAATCTTGTTTCATCTACTCTTACCTACTTCTTCCCTCCCTGTATTATTTTGAAGTGAATTCCAGACATAATATCAGATTTTTTGCTGTTAAATTACTTTTTTAAAAAAACCTTGGGAAGAATATTCTGTATTTTTTTATTTTAGCTTTAATTTTGTCCCTGTTTATTGCTAGGGTTCAGAAAGACAAGCAAAAACTGGAGCTACTGGACAGCGCCTAAAGGAAGCTACAAAAATCAATCTTTCACTTTCCACCCTTGGTAATGTAATTTCTGCCTTGGTTGATGGAAAAAGCACTCACGTGCCTTATCGTAACTCTAAATTGACTCGTCTTCTTCAGGATTCCTTAGGAGGAAATTCAAAAACCATGATGGTAAGACTTACATGGTGGTATAGTTAACATCAGCCAAATTTAAGATTCTAATTTATGCCAATACTTGATATGTATAATGTTTTAAAAGCTATTGATGATTTTACTTTTTTCGATTTGTGATTGTCTTTTCTGTAATACACCACGTGTATTAGCCCCATAGTAGTGTTTGGAAACCCATGTAGGTGATGCTGTCTTTTTCAAGAATGCATATGTGCTTCAAAAAAATTTTTTTGATATATTTGTAATGTTAGTATTGATTTCAGCTGTGTCAAGTATAAAATGATTTGTTTTTCTAATTCAACAGTGTGCAAATATTGGGCCAGCAGATTACAATTATGATGAAACTATCAGTACATTACGGTATGCTAACCGTGCTAAGAATATTAAAAATAAAGCTAGAATTAATGAAGATCCAAAGGATGCTTTGCTTCGTCAATTCCAGAAAGAAATAGAAGAACTGAAAAAAAAACTTGAAGAAGGTAACTTTTTCTCAAAATATTAATCTTGACATTGGCTAAAAATATGTTGGTTAACTACTAAGTTTTTTAAACAAAAATCATGTATTAAATGTTTTTTGAGCTTCTAGCATTGATATTTAAAAGAATATTTCTGGAATATAACTTGGAAAGTTATATTAGATAAGTAACTTGGTACTTATGTACTTTAGCATTTTCATATTGAGCTTAGAGAAAATTACATAATGTTCGTGTATACGTTTTTTAAAAAAATTAACTTAAGCTGCCGTTTTTATCCCCATGACTGTAGATTTCATATGACTGCTTGTTAAATAATGAATTTTTATTGTCTCTTTATAAGAGCAAATTCTACCATATCTGTGTTTAGAACAGAGTTCTGGATTTGTGATTGATATCAGTTCACTATTGTTTGAAGTAAAGAAAGATATCATATAGTCAATGATAAACCAAGTTTGCTATAAGTAAAAATGCATTGCATGTCTTTAAAAATATGCATTCGTACTTAAATTTGAATAAGATTTTATTTTGGAAATTCTATCCTGATAAGATAATGCTAGAAGGTTAGAAAGTTTGAAGATCTTATTCATGAGAGTGAGAAACTTCCTAGTCATCATTAAGTCTTCTGTGACTTCTTGCACCTTCATGTTAGGAACAGATCCTTTCTGATTGGCATAGAGCTCCTTTGCATACCTAGTAAACAGGGGGCTTTGAAACTGTACCTTTGCAGTCTGTGGGGAACCTGGTTAGATCAGAAGTAAAATCTAGAGATACCAGCGTCACAAATGTTTGGAGAAGGTGTTGATTCAATAAACGAGTAAGATTATTGAAGAAAAGTAATAAGTGAGCTGTCTCTTAAACAATGAAATTTGGCATTTTAAATGTGACCACTAGGTGGTATTTATAGCCAGTATTTTTTAAAAGATTTTTTGATTTCTTAGTTATGTTAATGTTGAGTACATACCTTTATTTTGCAGACTTTATTTTTTATATGGTAAAATATACATAAAATAAAATTTACCATTTTAACCATTTTTAAGTATACAGTTCAGTGGCATTAAGTATATTCACTTGTGCAACTATCACCATTATCCATCTCTAGAACTTTTTTATCATTCTGAACAGAAACTCTGTACCCATTAAATACTTATTCCTCATTCTCTTCGTCCCCTAGTCCCTGGTAACCACTATTCTACTTTCTGTCTCTATGAATTTGACTATTTTAGGTATCTCATAAAAGTAAAATCGTACAGTATTTGTCCTTTTGTATCTGGCTTATTTCACTTAGCATAATGTCTTCAAGGTTCATCCATGTTGTACCTTATATCAGAATTTCATTCTTTTTTTAAAAAATTGTGGTAAAATATACATAATATAAATTTTACCATTTTAATCATTTTTAAGTTTGCAGCTCTGTGGCATTAAGTATTTTCACACTTTTCTGCAACTATTCATCTCTAGAACTTTTTCATCTTACAAAACTGAAACTCTGTACCTATTAAACACTAGCTCCCCATTCCATTCTTCCCCCAGTCCCTGGCAACCACCACTCTACTTTGTGTCTATGAATTTGATTACTCCAAGTATCTCATATAAGTGGAATCATACAGTATTTATCCTTTTGTGACTTAGTTCACTTAGCATAATTCCTTCAAGGTTCATCCATGTTGTAGCATGTGTCAGGATTTATTTCCTTTTTAAGGCTGCATAATAGTCCATTGTATGTATATACTATATTTTGTTTATCCATTCATCCATCACTGGACATTTGGGTTGCTTCCACCTCTTGGCTATTGAGAATAATGCTGCTATAAACATGGGTGTACTAATACTTGTTTGAGTCCTTGCTTTAAATTCTTTTGTGTATATGCCCAGAAGTGGAAATGCTGGATCATATGGTAAACTGACTTTTTTAAAAAACACATTTCGGAGTTCCGGTCAAGATGGTGGAATAGATGGTTCCCAACGTCACTCTCTCCCGCAGATCAACAAATTTACAACTATAAAAATGTAACATCAGCCAAGCTGGGGATGCTGGAGCTCAGGGGAAGAGGAGGAGAGACCTAGGGAGTTCATGAAGGTGGGAGAAACCATGATGTGAGAAAGAAAAAACTGCTCAGCATTTCGGGTCGCGGCCACTTTAAGGCTGAAGCTAATGAGTGCATGGAGCAGGAGCTGGCAGAAGCCACAACTGTGCCCTTCAGATGGAGTAGCTTGGAGGCGGCAAGGGAGAAGAGGGCCTTGGCGGCCTCCAGGACAGCAAGACCACTAATAGGGTTCCCATGGACCCACACAGGACCAAGGAGCCAGAACAACTGAAAAAAGGGAGCCATTCAGAGGCTGGTGAGTCATCACAAGAGACAGGCACAGGGCCCGTCCCATGGGAAGTTTTGGAGCAGGGGCAGTGGGGGAGATGGGCCCACTGGGAGAACACTGGGACACAGCAAAGACAGCCGACCCTCCTCCCAATCAGTGCAGGACCACTCAGAGGAGATTGGTCAGGAATGCAGAATTGCATGGGGTGCAGTTTGATGGAAAAACTCAGGCCCAGATCAGAGTTTCTACACAACCCAGATCCACCAGGTCTCTGGAGGGCCGGAAGTACCTATAAGGTAAACCATTAAACCCTGAGCTGCACAAAAAGCCTTCCCTAGGGAAACAACAGCAAAGCAGTTCAACCACATAGCTCAAGTACTGGTTGCCACAGGAAGTTTCCCCATTTTAGAAGTAAGCAAAGGAGGGGCCGGCCCGGTGGCGCACTGCTATAGTGCACCGCTTGGGAAGCGCGGCGGCGCTCCCGCTGAGGGTTCAGATCCCACATACAGACCGGTTCCCGCTCACTGGCTGAGCGAGGCGCGGGAGCAACACCGAGGGTTGCAATCCCGTTGCCGGTCCCCGGTCCGGTACGGGGGCAACACTGAGGGTTGC